GACTATCTCCCCTCCTGCCAAGGACTTATATAATACCCCGGGCACCACATAGGTTTTTGTGTAGCAAGAGCCCTCATCACAGACTGAAAGAAAGAAAGAAAAAAAATGAAATTCGCAGTTAAGGGCTTCGGATCCCAGGGCCTCGACTCTCACCCACCTCGGGATCCTGCTCTAGTCTAGCGTTTCCTTGGAGCCCAATTTCAGACATCACCATATGCTCCCAGGTAATCCCAAAGAACAAGGCCTTTCCTTTATCTGTCTCGGAATTCATGCAGCCTCCTGTCTCTCTCAGGTCCTTCACATAGGCCAAATCTGTCCACGCCTGTGTCGGGTCCTGTGCTAAGTGTGTTCTTCGGGTTGATGGGGCTTTCGGATCATGTGGATCTGATTCCTGTTACAGAAGCAGCAACCATCCGTCAAATAGCAATTAGATTAGCAGCTCTCAGCAACAAAAGTCCAACCGTCCCCAGGGGTGGAGGATCACTGGTCTTTGGGAAACCATGAAGCTTTTATCCCACATTCCAGTGACATGGAGCTTAAGTCACACAAGTCACTGCCCAACCTACAGTTGGTCACAATTGACTGAGCAGACTTAAAACTTAGCTTGGAATGCTCTGGTCCTCTGGGTTCTGTCTGCCTCTTCCATTCAGGAGTATGGCAAGTATGTCTGTACCTGCTGTGCCCACCCTGCCCCTGGCTATGAACACCCCAGGACCTACTTGCCATCTTCTCCAATAGGACAGGGGTTAGAAGTCAGAGGTCCCTGAGGCTGTTCTGAACAACTGGTCTAGAGTCAAAGAAAACTCCATTCCCAAGAATAGCCCTGTCTGTGTTCTGACTTTGAAGGTGACTGGTATATTTTAACTTTTCCTAATCAGCAAAGTAGGGAGGGATTTGGAGAAATGTTATGTTTTGTGATGTTTAATAACATTATTCTTAAATGTTGTTTGATTATATATACTATTGACATGTGTATATCAATGCCAGTCTTTCCTGCTTCTCTTGTATTTATTTTCTGTGTGTTACTTAAATTAAGTGGATTCTGTTGTTGGCCATGGCAGCTTCCATGGTTTATCTTTAGGCCATGGGGTTCAGAGCCCTTTCTCATTTTGATGAGAAATGCTCAAAACTGAGATTGTGTTCAATGGCGCTTTCAGCTCTCAGAGTTCTAACCCCACCAGCTATCTCTGCTTATTAACAGGACTCTCCATGAACAGGGATGTGAGACAGACTTTTCTCAATACCCCTTTTTTTAAAATGATTTTTTTTCAAAATATTTCTTTCATAGTGTGTTTGGGCATATGTGCCACAGCAAAGGACAACTTCGAGTTTTCATCTTCTACCATGTGGGTCCCAACAATCAGTTTGTCTGGCTTGGTGTTATCTCACTGGCCCATTTCCTGATATTCTAACTGACCATGTGACATGATGGAATAGAGCCCATTTGCCCTGCCAAAGACGAGGTGTGTGGAACTATAAAGAGAAAGTCATTTGTTATTTCTTTGAAAGCCTTTGGAGGACAATTGGAAGTCTGTCTCGGTTCTTTAAACACACACACACACACACCATGCTAGCTAGATATGTGGGTTACTATAAAAGTAACTGTGTTAGTCTGAAATTTCTTCAGACCACAATCAGGAAGAACAAGCTGTCTAGAGAAATCACAGGTCTCTGAGCCTAAGAATTGGTGTAGGTGGCCTGTTTATCCAGGGGAGCACTGTCATCTACCAAGACAGGCTAAATGTAACTCATCTACATAAGAATTCTTCAATCCCCAGGGAGAAAACTTACCAAGGACACTGGGATTGCGTTCCTTTGGGACCTAGATACTTAAGAGAAAGGGACAAAGCAGCCTTCAGTGTGGGGAAGGCATCTGGGTGCCAAGTCATCTACCTGTGGAGGAAGGCACTTAGAGCCATCTGCTAGCCGGATGCCAACAACAGGCAAGGTAAGCTCCAGACTGCCTGAGGACTCCCAACTTCCTCCCTCAGGTGGGAGAGAGCAGCTTACAAGGGATTCATCAAAAACAACCACAGTTTGGACAGAGGGCAGGAGCAGCAGGATGGCCTGAGGGTTAGGGCTAAAGGCAAGCTGTTGAATGGCAGAATGAAGGGCCAGGGTTAGGAATCAAGGCAAAGATTTCTACAGACCTGAAACAGCTCTTTGCTCTTCAAAGCTGAGAGACAGGCAACAGCCAGGCCTGGTGGTACAGGCCTGGAAACTCAGCTACATGGGAGTCTGAGGCAGGAGGATTGAAAGCTGAAGGCCTGACTGGGCTATAGAGAGGGGTCAAAAACAGCCCGGGCAATGTAATGAGACCCTGCCTCAACATGAAAAGTAAAAAGAGGCGTAGGATATAACTAAGACAGTTTTCTAGTTTACACAAGGCCCTAAAATCAATCCCTATGCCCACCACATTCACAAAGTGGGGCAAAGGACTATATTTGCACCGAAACAGAAGCATTTTCCTAAAGACAAGAGTTTCAGGAAGATTTTACAGAAGCCTCCCAGTTGTTTATTGTAGGAGTCTTGACTGAGAGAGTGAAGTTGGGGAGAATAAACAGCCAGGCTGAGGGGAAATGGCCAGCAGCAAAGCTGCTCCAAAACAATGAGGATCTCCACAAAAGGATGGGGCGGCAGACTTTACTGGAAAACCAGAAGGAGCTTTGCTTTTGCAGGACAAGTGAGGATTCATCATTGAGTTGGGACTTTTCTGTTTGGAGGCAGACGCTCAGAACAAAAAAAAAAAAGGTTGAGAGAAATAACCTTGGAGATCTAGCATCATCGTGGTTGCCATCATCATTTCCTTCTACACAGATGAACCCCTGTCCCTGTCCTTTGCTTGCCAAGTGGGGTTTTCTGTCAGGTGAGCCACACAGAGCACCACATGCAAAGGGCTAGCTGAGGGTTCCCCTCAAAGTCCCTGTGAGGCTGCAGCTGGGGGACACCTGCAGGTCAGTGCATTTAGGATGGAAGTGTTCACTGGCTCTATGTTCAACTGGCCTCCAGCCTTGAAAGTATTTAACAAAGAAGGGTTAGGAATGATTCCTGGATTAGGGCCAGCACTTGCCACCTGAAGACCAGTTGGCCAGTCTGGATCCCATCCCCCATCCTCAGGTGGAAAGCGCAGCCTCTGATCTTGTCCGTTTTTGCCTATGATACTTCTCCAAGGTGTGCTCTTGAGGTGGTCATGCTGACAAGGGTCAAAGGTCAAGCCCAAAGTGTTTGTGAGGGACAGCATAACAGTGTCCATATGCCAAGATGTCCAAGGCCAAGATGTCACCTATGTCCAGTCCTCACAGTCTTGTAGCTGGATCAAAGGTATAAGTGACCCAATTACAAGCAAAATGAGCACTTCTCTGCAATGCTAGTGGGCACCCTGGGGACACAAGACAGGCAGTCGCTCACAGGTCTGGCGTTTCTAGCAGTACCAGTCTGCTTCCAGGAGCTGCTGTCACAAACTACCACAAAGCCTGGAGGCGTAAAAGTGGCAGGGATCTATCCCCTGTTCTAGGGGTCAGAAGTGCAAGATCAAGGTGGCAGTAGGGCTGGTTGTGACTCTAGATCACAGGAGAGACTCTGTCCTATGCCTGCATCCTGGTCCTGGTTATTGCTCAAATCTTTGTTGCCCCTTGGCTTTGAAACATTTCATTCCACTCCCTGCCTCTATTCCCACAGACGGTCTCTGTGCATCTGTGTGTGGCTCTACTGTGTCTGTCTGTGACGCTTCTCTTCTGACAACTATGCCAATTGTATTAATGTTCTACCATTTGGGCATAGTGAGATGGCTTGGTGGTAACAGCACTTGCTGTACAATCATGAAGACCTGAGTTCAAATCCCCAGCATCTATGTAAAAAGTCAGGCATGACTGTAACCCAAGTGCTACAAGACTAAAAGGATTCCTAGGGGTAGCCAATGGCCAGCCTAGCTCCAGGTTCAGCAAGAGATGCTGTATCTGAGGAATAGGCAGAAAGTGAGATA